AGAGAACGGGAAGCCCCCGCGCGTTGCTCACGCAGCGTCGGGACACCCCGTTGGTGGCACTTTCGGCGTTCGCCCGAGGCATGAGACGGTGGGTAACCCTCCCCCTTCCCTGCCCCTGCCCACACAGGCGTGCTCTCCCCAGCCAACCTTTTTTCCTGGTTTTCAGGTTTCTGTGTGAAGTGAAGCAAACTTCACAGGCCAAGATTAACGCAGGAATACAGACCGGCCGTGACTTTGAGGTATGTTACCTCGGGAAAAGCTGAAGCAACAGAACAGTATGGTAGAAACAAGTGTGTAACAGCATCTGGGCTACAATACCCAGCGTGCTGGTCACTGCTCCCTTTAGGAAACGTCTTTGAGCGACTGAGATGAGCTCAGCCCAAGGCAGGGTCAGCAGAGGGGGAAGAGACAACTGCTGGCCCTTCGCTGAAGTTGTTTTGTAGCATGAAGTACGCTCGGGAGGTCATTATCTGCTCTGTAATGCCAGCTTGCACAGCAGTTCTCATCAGTTTTCTTATACACAGGGATCCCCTCAAGTTTTGGTCGTTGATCAAAGCAACGGCAACTGCCTTTAATGAAAACCAGAGCCATTTTAGTATTTTAGTGCCATATTTTACCCTAGCTGCATTCATTACCTACAGGAAGTTCAGCAAGTCCACCGCATTAGAGGGAACAAGCAGCTGTGACCTTCCTGTATTAGGAGCCCGACTCCAAGATCAGTGTCCCTACGTGTTACTCTGCCAAGAACCAGGAGAGGGTGCTGTTAAATTTGGCTATCGTTTCCTTTACCCGGAGAGCGACCCCATTCTGTAAAGCGCCTTTCCCTGCTTCTTCCCCCACCATCCCAAACCCCTTAGCGCTTTCTAACCCGACTGAAACGGACTTGCCACACCGCCCAGCCAAGATACAACAGCAGGGATGAAAAGGGTCTTTTGCTTAATTATAGTCAAGCTCCTAAACCGGAGTGATGAAAGTCATGAGGAGGCTGCTGAGCACTCGAATGGCAACACAGCAAAGCTACGCAGATCCTCTGGATAAAGGAGGCCCCGCCGCTCGCTTTTGACCGTGGCTCTGCCAAAAGAGCCCTTGAAGCCCCTGGACATCAGCTGTGTGGGATTTGAAGCAGGAGGGTCCGCCTCTGGGACACGGGAAGGAGCACGTTCACGTAAACACCCGTTCTGGCAGGTCAGGGGCAGACGTTTGGCAAAGCTGGGTGACTTTGTAAGACTTGCTGCTCTGGTTTAGGATGAAAAAAGTTGTAAACAATTTATAAAAGGGGGAATATATCCCTTGTCAGCTTTGAACCACAGTCATAGAACCACAGAACGATTTGGGACCTCTCTCTGCACCACAGACCTAGTTGGTTTTTAACCCAGATGCCAATGCTACCCGCTGAAAATCAATCTGAATCTTCAATAAAAAAATATAGGCACATTCCAAACTGTCATCCAAACCTGAATATTCCAACCTTTTTCTCTCCCTCCCTATGGTTTTTCAAACCCTCCTTTTCCACGTCAATGGGTTAGCGACTTGAAGGGAGGGCGATGGAAGAAATGCAACGGGAACGGAGAAACGAGAGGAGATGGAGGGACAAGAAACATCTTCTGCTGTTCAAGGGACTTTCTGCAATCTGCTCAGACAACGGCTCGCTCGGAACTGAAACCCACCGTGTCATCCCATCTTCCAAGAGAAACAACATCCTATGACAGAACATAAGCACCTGCATTAACAAGGACTGAAAGCAGAAAATGGGATAACTACGGGATATGAAGTGATCTCGGCCCAAACCGTGTTCTAAGCATGAAACAACTGTCAGCACACAGATCTGGTGTTATTTGTAGAATATTTTAATTTTTAGCTGAGAAACACACAACAGGGTAGAGTTTAAGGCATGCAATCAGGCATGAAAGTTCTCTTGCTTGCTTTTTGTGCTCATACCTTCAGCGTAAGTTCTGTGAAAAGGAGTAGATCCATCTTTAATCTCTACCTAAAGCAACTCTGAGTACCCACGTACAGCCTGAGGTTCGATGCAAAGTTTACAGTTGCTCCTCGAACGCAGGATTTAGTTCTAGGGAAACTCAGTTCTTTTTCTGTCTGTGAGATTTGTTCTATGCCACATAGAGAAAAGGTCATATATTTCACAGAGTAAGCTTGATCAGTGACGATATCAACAGAAGCAAAACAACCTTCTCCACATATATACACGCTGCAATCACAGACATCTGCTTGCACGGTTTTACTTTGATTGCTCTTTTACTGGAAAATACACATAATCTAGTGGATTGATTTCTGCACCTTGCAAGTCTAGTTGTTGGTTTTCTTCTAAAAAACAACAAACCAAAACCAGAGACCACAAACAAGACAGCCAATGGGGCAATGAACTTCTTACTGCTGAGGCAAATGAGCAATTCAAAGATTAACGGTTTTGTGGATTTAGGCACATTATCTTAGAAACATCACAGGTATTGAAACAGACATCACAGGGGGCACTGAGATGCTGCTAAAAAAATACCTTTCCATTTGGGTAGCTTTTGGCTAGTGGTAGTGTAAAGCACCTTTGTGTCCACTCCTATGGGGCATCTGCTCTTAACAAGCAAATAAGACAGTACCTGATAGGGAGCACATTGCCAAGGAAAATGTGGTTTATAAGCAGCTACAAATGAGTATTTTCTCTCGTTAATGCCCTACCATTGCTCATACAGATTCTGGTTTTATTTTTTGTTATTATTATACAACATGATAGTCAAGACCCTTCTCCCTCACTTAGGCATTTTTAAAATCAATATGATTAAAAATGAATCTACTGTGCATCCACATGACGAATGTGGTAAGAGCTCATTCTGCATCTTTCCCATGAAGGTCCCCACCCTGCATTTTTTGATATCCCTAAGACTTCCGCTGTAATTACTGGGAAGAGACAAATCCCAACTCCTAAATGTGTTTAAGGACTTCAACGGTATCAGAAGTTCCATCCTCTGCTGCAGCAGGCATTAAGAGTTCGTAACCACAGTGAGGTTTCAAAAGAGGTAATCCTGAGATTACAAACAGTTGGCAAATCCAGAACTGGATGGTCCCATTTCCTAGGCCCCGTCACCACAAAAGGATTCGTGCACGTGTTCACTTCGTTCCCATTCGGCAAAACGCTGAAACACAACTGCAGCGTGAGGCCAAATACCACTGAAAGCGCCTGAAGCAAGATTATGTCTTCATTATTAAATCTTTTGAGAGCATAAAAGGAAGATGAACTCAGTGCGTAAGAATTACATCTTAAAACATGCATACAGAGGCACTGACCTCTTCTTTGATTTTCTAAAAATGAACAGGCCGTTTAGCTCTGGGGGAAGTCAGAACTCCCGTCCTGCTCTTACCTCTAACTAGGGAAGAGCCCATGGAAACAATTTTCTTTACACATTACCTGCAAGAGTGGCTCAGAGTTAAAAGAAATAATCAAGTCTACCAAGTGAGCTTGCATCCTTAAAATTTATACTCTAGACTTCATTTTAAAACATGGATAGCAACAACAATGTATAAAACATATCTGGCCTCCCTGACAAAAAAGGAACTATAAAACGATCAAAAGCTAACTGTGCGTGTAGATTAGCCAGCACATAAACAAAAGTTCAAGAAAAGCAGCGCAAAAAATGAAAGAGTAAATAATGTCTGTGAAACAGCTAGACTACACACTGTGAAGCTTGTAAATAGAGCACGTAGCCAATATGCCTTCCCAACTTAAACTGCAATTTAGTAACACTGCAGTGAGTTAATTAAAAAAAATAGAGGAACAAGCGGAAAATTGCATGCCAAAACGTACTTTGCAGCTCTGACACAGTCCCGGGATGATATGGAAGGCTCAGTGAGAGCATCTTCCTTTACCACCCTGACATTTCGTCTTTGATGGCTCTGGGCAGAAATAAATTCCCCTTCCTCTCAAGCTTGATGTGAGAAGGGTTAAACTACGATGTCAACCCCCTGTCCCACTGCAGCTTTCAAAAGTTACAATTAGGAAACCCTGAAATACTTCTCTGGGGCCAATAAACTTACGCCGGGTGATTTTAGTAGAAAGGTTTTAGTAAAGCGAAGCCAGACTTTGTTGGCTGGTCCTTTGCCAAAGTCTCCTTGCTGCACAGAGCAGGACTGCTCAAGGAGACCTAGAAGAGACCAGATGCTTCCCGACACCAGCATCTGGCACTGATGGGATGCTGACGTGCAGGACATGCCCCGGTCAAGCTTTGCTGAAATCAGTAAATGCCCAGAGCGGGATATTAACTGTCAGGTTTCCTAACGGCTGTTAGAAGTTCTTCAGAGATTCTCTCTATCTTAGAGCTTTTGTTCCCAAGGGAATACAGGTTATTCCATCCTCTGCAGAAGGTGATTGTCTACTGCAAAAAAATGGGGGACATTTAAGAAATATAGAAACTACAACGATGACCAGAGAAGTGTTTTGATTCAACAATAAAGGCAAAGCAAATGAGATACCACCTTGAAAGAACAAAATTACATAGGAAGGAGCTGGATTCTGTTGAGCTTACCCTGAAAGATGCTGTCCCTTCATGATTAAGTTTGCTGTGAGTGACTCATCCACAAAGTAACATGAAATGTACTCCTCAATACCTTCTCCCAGCAGTTCCGGACGTAAAAGCCAGTCACAAATAAAAGTTAAGGCAAAAATAAAAAAACCAACCACCCTCTTTCTCATTTCTCATCATGATGACACCTCACAAAAGAAATTACAAATGAAAGCATTTTAACTTGTGAAATACGAAATGCAATTCATGCTATGGAGGAATACCTCAGCCTTTTAGCTAGGAAACAGTCTTTCCATGGGGGCTTGGTTAATAGCTATCATGCAAAAACAATTAGTCGTTCAAGCAATTAAGAAGGTAAGTATCTCCTAAAAAGGCTTCGAGCTTTTCAAGCCCTAAATGCAACTGCTATAAACCTAGACTGTTCCTGAGTGTAATTTAGTTATTGTATTGCCTCTCCTGAAGAGATCCGTTGTATCATGTGTTGTAAATTCTTGATGCTCTTTTTGCTGCAGTCTGGGCCTCTGGTGAATTCTCCTCTTGCTCCTCACACTTCTTATGGTTTAGGAATATGTCTGACTTTAAGAAGCGGCTGTAGCTGTCATATTTCATGAGATTGAATATCTGGTAAAAGGGGGGAAAAACACAAACACAATGACCTAAGTAAAACTAGATTTTAAATAAGAAGGACAGTACATGAATTCTAATGTATTGTTGTTCTGTTTGTACTAAAGAATTACTAAAAAGCATGACACATAAAAGCACGATAAAACACACTTCAGACTCTCAAAAGGGGCTGCACGTAGCAAACAATATTGTGGGTTCCATGGTCACTGTTTTGCAATAATGTCCATATTGCTTTAAGAATCAGACGATGGTTTTCACAATACCAGCTTTGAAAACCTAACACTGAAGGTGGGAGGTCACATGCCATGGCCACTAGGTAGGATTTTACAGCTGATGATCACGTAACTGCACGTGTGGTCAAGCCAGGACATTACCTGGTCCCCTCCCACAGCAGCCTTAGGCCTGCAGAGCCACCAGGAGTAAAACCTAGCGAGGGTGTCCTTCTGGCAGGGTAGGTGCAAGATGTTCAGAGGGACGAAGCAGAGATGAAGAAAAAGAGGTACCTTTTGGGCACCCTTCTGACTGCAGTTACTCTTGAACATTACAGAACAGCTCATTATACCTGCAGAGCACTGGGTAATTAAGAAGAGCCTCTAAATAGTTTACACAAATACTGAAACTGCAAACTGAATCCAGACTGAGAACAACTGGTTTAACCAATATTTCTTAAACTTATGCCCATCTTCCTACCCTTTTTTAGATGACTACACAACTGAACGCCAAGACTGGTCTCGGGCTGGATCAGAAACGTTGCAGGTACCCGCCACAAAGAGCTGATCGGGTATAGATGTAATTTCCCAGTTAAAATGTGGTTTAAAAAACTGGTGATGGATTAAATTTGTGCCATTAGGCTTTTCACTAGTCCAAAACTTGCTCTCCTTCTCATGGCCAGTATACAGCCAGCATGGAAGCACGAAGTCAGGGCTGAGTATAGCTCTTCTCTCCCAGGGCTTGCGTTTAGGCTCGTCCCTCAACAGAACTGCTTTCTCTTCTATTTATAGCCATTTCAGACAAGAAAGCTAGAGCTCGTTTGGAGTTTTCTGAAAACAAAAGGGCTTGGGAGAGGAGCCTGGAATCAGTTCAGGTGTCAAGGTCAGGACTATGTTTTTCTTGGTCTTGAAACAGAGGGAAAGGCAAAAAGTAAACCTCAAAACCATAACTGAGGCAAAACCAAAGCCTACATCACCCTCTGCCTCTTATTTCACTGGCGGAGTCTCTCTGAGTCATGCTTCAGGACTGATTACATTTAATGGTACTCAGAGTAACTACATTTCCAAGACGAATTTCTGGATAATCCACGTGTGGATAACTGGAGCTTTACGTTTACGGGACTCATTTCTAACTGATGGTACAACTGGGTAATACAACTGTTTGTTAGGAGGAAAAAAAAAAAATCATAATCTCAAACTGCTTTTTCATGTCACATCCTCGAGGAACCCAGACAGATAAAGGCAAACACACAAAACTTGACTCTTCTTGTCTATGCAGTTGCTGAAATATCCCCCGTGCAAATAAATGACATGAAGCATTTTAATAACCACTGTTTGTTTACATATTTAAATATTTAAATTCATGTTTAAAACAGTAGAAATCTTGCTTTATAAGCTACCCTCTCGATGTAGGCCCAAATCCAATATAGTTAAGCAAAGTCAAATTACACCTCCTGGTGCTGGCTAACTAAAATGTAATTAAATTTATGCAGCTAGGTCAAGGGAAAAAAAAATTGTAAGGAAGATACCGCCTGTTAAAATGTCATAAGCCAGTGTTAAGAACTTAGACCCCTCTTGTTCCTGGTATCATTTAAAGCATCTCCCAGAGAGAAAGAACACTGTAAGATCAGAATCTTCTGGAGTCTGGTCGGCCAAATGCGCAGAACAGACAGATCTGATAATCATGTGCAAAAGCAGAATTCTCTTTTTCCCTCCCCTCCTCTCATTGCCTCCGTGGAGCAGGAACATTTACCCTGTAAGTATTCTGAAATCTGCAGATTTCTATGAACAGCTCTGACACCACTTCATTCAGCAAGAACAACTGCCTCCAAGCTATTTGTTTAAGGCCATCCCATGAGCACACCACCACACCCCACAAGTAGCCCCATCTAAATCAGCAGGTCTCTGGAGAGCTGAAGTGATAGTTACCAACAGACTAGACTGTGGCTTTCAAGCTCTGCCTTTTTATACTTCAGACACACAGTGCCAGCAGTAGTTAACACTGTTCTTCAGAGAACAGATTATACCACTCTTCGTAACTTTATAAGGATTGAAAACCAGAGAAGACCATAACTCTTCCTGAACTATTATCTCACAGCAATAAACAGAAGCTTCAAGCAGTGGAAACCTGCAACAACTCATAAATGCTCTGCACTTTAATTTGGTTTTAAAAGTTCACAGACTTTCTTCCCACACTAGTGGGATTCCTCTACCACTGGTCTAGCATATTTCTAGTTCAGGTATTACTAATCCTAGGCTGTTCATGTGCATGCTCATGTGTAACACCACAAAACATTTTAACTCCAGTAATCTCTCCAGCTCCAGTCTCACAATCACCCACCCTGAACTGCAGTGCTCAGAATTACCAGAACATTTTCTTTCCCTTCCCCCAAGTCAGAAGTTCTTCCATGAAAAACTTTACTTCTTCACATGGAAACTGAGTTTCAGACATTTCCACTGCTAATGCCTTGGAACCTGCTTGTGAGACAGCAGAGCCTCTCCTCAGACCGCTTCAATTGATCCAGCCAGTGCCCAACTAACGTATTCAATACCTGAGGTGAAATGAGTTGAAAACGCTATTTAAATCAGCGTGCTGTTTCCAGAAAAGAAAAGAGCCAAATGGAAAAAACAGGTAGTCCTGAGGATGGTACAGAAATTAAAAATAGTACAGACTGCAAGTCCTGGAAAGATAAGAATGACTCACTTCGTAACTTATGTTTTAAAATAAGCTACATAGCAAGAAAATTTACCACCAAAAGACATGCCTGCAAAATGTCACCTAATTTCTACCAGACCTCCCAAGTTCTATAGGAAAAGGCAAAGCAGATAGCAGCTTTAAGTTTTGTGTGTTACCTAAGAGGAGGCTTTTCAGGAAATCATATTATATTCATATCGATATAAATACCAAAACAAAGCAAAGTGAAGAATCTTGAGCTCTCAAGGAAACCAGCGGCAACTACGGAAACAAACATCAGCAATGACTCAGCGCAAGTGCATACACAGGAAAACGTAGGCACAAAGTTAGTCAGCTGGGTGATTCTCAAGCTACCAGCAAAGGAACCCAGGAAAAAACTTCATCCAATTTTCCAGGAAAGTCCTGAACTGGAATCAGCATGGTTGCGCTGAGTCCTTAACCAACTGGCCCCAGTTAGATGGGGCCAAGTACCTGGCACGGTGCATCCACGCTCGGAGCGGCTGCGTGAATACCCCCAACACGGAAGCAACCCAGCTTCATGCCCACTTAATCCATGCCACAGGCAGCAGCAAGCAGATTCCCAACTTTTCTACACTAGCATGTGCTTAGAAAACACAGTCCATTAAAAGCAGACAAAACCTAAAGAAACTGTGTTGTTGAAGCAAATAACTTTACCTGGTCCTGGAGCTTCTGAAACATGAGAGGGTGAGGTGTCTCCAAAATGGTCTCGTTCAAACGGGACTGTCCTTCAACATTGACTTGGGAGGAAGCTTTACTGGACAGGAAAGTCATGTAAATTTCTTTAGCTTTTTCTTGCATCTACAAAAGGACATATTTATTGAAAGAATTATTTGCTGTGGGAATACTCTCTGTATTTGTTAATGTTTTGTTGGAGGCTGCTCTAGGACACCGACTTCTGGAGGTTCACATCCTAAAACCAGAACGTACTCTTAAAATTTAAAAGAAAACAAGTTTTAGCTTATTTGTGTACATTCACTTGTACTGGAGGAAAAATCTCTGCAGGCCAACTCCTGCGCTGACATCAGTGGAAGCTACGAGTATTCGGCACTTAGGTTAAACAGCAGGTTGTGACGCTTGAACCTCAGTATCCAGTGTAAAACTGCTCAGCATCATCAACTAGGCCTTGTCTTCACTATTTAGAAGACTATTTTCACCAACAGATAACCAGCACACACAAGGAAGCCAGAGGGAAAAAGCACTGTGGAACGTTACTCTTACTGCAAGGCAAAAACTAAGCAAAGTTAGCGTATCATCCGTGCTACGGATAGACAACCCTGTCATGCTACATGCCTTGTCGTAACTACGTTTTACCTCAGGGCAGCTCAAGTGCAACACTGGCTACACGATTAAAAAACCCCAAGTATTTTTTTGGCTAATGGTAAAGACAGAACTCTCAAGAGCCTCTGAAAGCTGATAAATAAGGGTAGGTGTGACTTGCATAAAGCAGTTTGTTAACGCTTGCCCTGATTTCAGCAATCCTGTTTCAGTGGTCTTCTCTTGATAAAGCAGTAACAGCGATAACATTTTGACCCAACCCAGCACCTTTAAGCTTCAAAGCAGTAAAAGAGTGGTCGCAATCCTCTGAAATTCAATGCAAGCTCCCCCTTGACCAGAAGGTTGAATAAGAGAAAGCCAGTGCGGGGAGAAGAGAGCCAAGCCAGGCAGGAGGCAAGCGTCCCCGCTGCAAGCTGAGCTCTGCACGCTGAACGCCGTGGGTACTCGTCAGTGGTCCCCGTTGTACAGCTGATGAGCAGCCACACCTCCAGACCAGCACCAGCTAAAGGGCTGTGTCTTTGATGGGAAGTAGGCTTGAAGAAGGAAGCATTTAAACTCTTGCCCATGAAGAAGTCACAGAATTTCTTTCACGTTTTACAGCTGAGAATCAACATTTGGGGATAATTAGAGGAAAAGCTACATGTGTTTGACAATTCACAAGGCCTAAAGAGTTAACTCTCTCACTGCTGCAGGGGACACACATTTTCCAGGAGTATTCCTTTTAAATACAGAGTATTCATCTGGTGGGTAAAATATCACGTGCCAGGCGCAGCGGGTCACGTGTTTTACAACAATTTCCCCTCTTTCCAGTTTCACAGATCAGGGAGAATTGGTTCAGCCACATCATTCTAAATGAGCACAATACAATCGATCAGAGGTGTGACTGCTTTAACTGGTGAAGTCAATACCCTAAGGCAGACACAGTAAAACCACATAAGTGATCGTACTGACTGTCAGTCCCACCCAAATAACTTTTGAACCTGCTGTCCAATTTCAATCATAATTAAGAGAGGGGCAAAGGACTGAGAAATAATTACCCTCCTACTGATTCAATGGAAAAGAGTGGCACGAGAAAGGAAAGGGAGGGAAAAAGCAACACGTGCACCAAGGGAAAAGCTGCAGCCTATGTTCAAAAGTTATCTACTCTACTCGAACTGCCAGCACGCAGTTAATGGCCGGCTAATCAACGCACACATAGCTCCACGTCAGCCACCACCCAAGGTGCTGCTTGCCCAAGGAACACAGGAGCGAGCCAGGCACTGTGGAGAAAGAGCAGAGCAAGGCTTGAGGGGAAACATGAAACTAGAAGTACTGTGAGGAAGTTTAAAGAACGCGGGGGGAGAACAAGAGGATTGTGCGTGAGGTTAGCGAGATGGGGAGGATCTCTGGATTTCGTGGGAAGAATGACAAAGAAAGGAAGCGAGAGCACTGTGGTTGGGAGAGAGGGCTCGTTGGAGAGGTGCAGGGGACCTGACTTTATAGTAATGGGTACGCGCAGCTAAACACTACAGGTTCTGCTGCACGTGGAACAGCTGCTACGCTACGTCTATGCTTCAGTAACAGAGCAGCAGTTTAACTACTACTTTTTTTTTTTTTTTTCCACAAAGAAAATACAGTCAAAGCTGCCAATATGTTTACACATCCCCCAAACGACATTCAGGGAGAGCCAGGTTCAGGCGGAGGAGACAGCGATGTTCCCCATTCAGTGGGTGGCATTCTTTGTTCTGCGTCAGCCTGAAACTAATGCCTCAGCGCAGGGGACTCTACTCTGGAATTTAAACAACACTTAAACTGGGATCTTGTTCACAGGTGGTTATTAAAGTATTTCTGGCACTTTCCAGTTACATCTGTGAGCTCGCCCCAGCATCCGTGCCAAATTCCCATTTGGAGTACAAAGATCTGTCTACAGAAATCCCCCTCACTATTTCAAGTGGATACAATATTCTTTCCCACTTCCTTTCCTAAGGTCAAATTCAGCTCTCAAGCATGTGTGGTTCCCAAATGAGGTGAATGGAAGTCCCAGATGCTCATCAGAACAGACTCCAGCAGTTAGCAGCTGTGCAACGTCACCCAGCCCTGCTTAACCATTGCCACATTCCACACGCGGAGCAGCAGAAGAAACTCTTGAATAGGTACACTTTGTTCTGAAATTGTTCTCTACAAAACTTCTCGAGTTGGGTATTTTGGTGGGTTTTAGCAATAGCTGAAAAGATTCCCTGTTGTTTGAAGCATTTGTTACAATCTGCAATTTATTTTTGAAGCTCAGCTGCAAGAGAAGGAACATTTAAACCTTGGGAAGTAGCACAATGGACGTGTTGTTTTTTTCATTAACAGTCACAAATGCAACAGCATATGACTAACTCCAATAAAATATTTAAAGTTAAATTTTATTCACTTATCCCCACCACTCCCATTTCAATAATTAAATGTGTCCCAAGATGAGGACCATATGGGTGGCAGCAGAGCTCACTGCTACAAGTGGACTTGACCTAATTCCTTGCTCAATCTGTGCTAAAAATTACATTTCTATTTTAACTTCAATTTTAAAGGAATGAGAAAGAAAGACTATCCTTGTTTTAAAACTACAGAGATGTGTCTTGAGCTGAGGGGAGGAGTTTGTGCTTTCACACTGCAAGAAAATTGGCTAAATCCAGTCCATCTAAAACCTGCCTAGACCAGTAACATAGTCTGCTTGCTGTCTAGCTCTGCAGATGCTGAAAACCTCCCCTGCTCCCTGAAACATGCATGGATTCTGTATTAGTTCACCCAAACAGGAAAACAAACACAACCTTGTGGAGCAGTCTGGTCTGAACTCTATTTCTGCCTTCTCCTGACTAAGCACTCCTACCACTAGTCTAGAGCCAACACAGCCAAGAGTCCGGCTGCTTCTTGCCAGCGCTCCCTCTGGTCCCGTGATCTAGCAAATCTGCTGCTGGGTGGTTCACATTCAAGAGGAAGGGGACAGAGAAGATGTATCTGCACAGCATCTTGCAAGATCTGCCTGTGTTGGCTTGATATAAGCCAGCTTCTAGGCAGAGCCCACGTGACTGTGGTTAGAGTAACAACTGAACCAAATTTAACAAGCTTTGAGGAAAGGCCCAGGATATTTTCTCAGAATGGCACTAACACAGCTAGACAGTTTGCAACCAAGAGAAAGCGGGAGCAGAGTGAGCCTGCATCTACCTGTGAAGACCAGAAAGGACACGAGGGAAGGACAGCACATTTACTGAGCCACCCATCCTAACGGTATACCAGCCTATCCAAAACCAAACACTGCTCCAGGCTGACACTGAAGGGGTGACAACAACTAGGCACAACAGATAATCCACTGACCAGGTGGTGACCTTTGTCCAAGTTTAAACTGACCAAGAAAAACCTCACACTAACATGCTCATGTCAAGTAAGGAAAAGTTTATCTTATACTTTAAGAATAGGGAAAATAATATCCCATTTGATCTGGGTTAAATCAAAATCAGCTTCATCTGACCAAAAGTCTAAGTGTCTATGAGCTAGTTTTTGTGGTAAACCAGTTTTAACGAGAAGCAGGCTATAAAATAAGTAAAAAGTTGTTTTAGAATACTTTACTCACATTAGATAGATAGAAAGTGACTTCTGCAAGAGTCAGTTTCAGAAGACAAATTCATGCTTCATGCTATCATAAACACTGGAAAGATTTCTCAGTGCTTTTTCTAGTTTTGTAAATTATCCAAACAAAGCCACCCTTAAGCAGTAGCTATAAAAATTTACTATAAGTACGTGTCAGCGTAAAGCACATTTATGCTAGCCAGCCGTAGTAGCTTTAGCAGTACTGGACTCCAGATTGACCATTTTGTGTAATGATTGTTACTGAATAATTAAGCTAAACAGAACCTGGTTAAGGCTCTGTCCATTGACTTGGCAATTCATTCAAGAATTCACTAAGTTACTATCTGTCTACATCAGTTTACCATTTCCTGTATGAGCATGCACAACCCTGTAATACCTAAAAAGATGGAAATTATTTAGCAAGGGAAAATACAATTATTATCCCACTGCAAAACGTGGGACCTTACAGAAGGATTTTCCCCACGTTCATTTCCATTTTCAAATGCAGTTTGATACTTCTCCAAGGGGTATCAAGAAAAGGCTACATACCTCTTGGCAAGGACAAGAAAAAACATCTGCCCTGTACAAAGCAAAGGATTCTTCCCATTTGGCTGTGGACCGTGATGCTGGCTTCTGCTTCACCAGCTCAGAAAGCAAATTATTTTACTGGAGTAGGGAGAGAGATCAAGAATACCTAGATCCCCAGCCCAGCATACCGAACATACCAGGCAAGACACTGTATGGACATCTGGGGACAAAAGAGAGGAAATGCTCTGTCACAAAAAGCATTTGTCACCGTGCTCACCCAGATAGGAGGTGGCTTCCAGTGCAACCCAGCCAGGCTGAGCCTTACACACCAGGGGAGAAGAGGACTCCTGGCCTCACTCCGGCTACCGATACTGCTGCCATCACAGTGGCATCTAGCACAGCTCCCTCTTTTATCCCATCTCATTTACTTCATTTCTCTTCAGGCCTTGCATCTTACAGAAAAATAGTCTGATTAGCTGTTCCTTTCTGAAGACGACCTGCAGGCATGGACCTTAAGGAGGGGAGGGGAGCAGCTAAATACACAAAGCTGAAGTACTGCTAAATATCACAAAGTGCGTGGTCAAATCGGACATTTTCCTCTTCTTGCAAAAATTATTATTTTTGTATTTTTTCAGGATTTATCAACACTAAAAAATATTCACAACTAAACCAAGCAAATTGTTTTGAGGGGAACGCTTTTTCAGCACAAAATAGAGAATTTTTACACAAAGTAGACTCCCCTTTCAAAAATACATTTTGTTGAAAATCCAGGGATCTTTTTTGTTGAAAATCTGCTGAGAAACAGTTTCAGCTGACAATATTTGACTGACCTTAAGAGACGAATCCTGCAGTCCAGACACACAGCTCTCTCACGCCTGCACTTTTTAATGCCCTGTTCCCCCACTCGATTCCTGTTCCCTGACGCTTCTGACATTACTTAAAGCACGCAGGGTCCCATCTGAAGCAGGTTTAAGTGGCATTTTCCCAGCCTCACCTCCTCAGGGAACTCTGCTTACTTTGGCCACAAAAGTGCAAAAGGGGCTGGACATGGGCACCCGTTGCCTGGTGGGATTTCCAAAAGAGGGCTTATGGGATTTAGGAGTCTGACTCTCCAGGATAGTGATGCTAAGTTGGAGTTCTTCATTTCATGCTCACAGAATCCGTGTCTCAAAGAGTAAATAAATTCGGAATTTCTCAAAAAACAAACAAAAAAAACCACAAAAACTTTTTCATGAACAAGCAAACAAAACACGGTACCTATTTTAGGCGTGACTATGGGCTTCAAAGCCTAAAGGTAGAAGTGGATCCTGTGTTCCTCAGATCTACATGTAGACTACGATCCAAGCAGTGGAAAAAAACTACTGGAGGGGGCTGGTTGAAAACTATGGGCTTCAAAGCTTAAACGTAGAAGTGGATCGTGTGTTCCTCATAGATCTACAAGTAGACCATGATCCAAGCAGTAGAAAAAAACTACTGGAGGGGGCTGGTTGAAAAAGTTTCAGTAGAATATTTTCTACTAGAAAAAATATAGCTTTCATGAAAATGAAAATGCTCTGCAGGTATACATCAATTTGAATAAATATTTAAACAAAAAAGTCTAAACGGACCCTCAGTTTCTTTTGGTTTGTAACTTGTAATTTGTTAGGGCAAAACTTTTCATTTTGGTGTTGTAAAACATTTTGTTTGCGCCGTTTGTTATTTTTCCGTTCCACTAAAATATCATAATGGTGTATATTTTCATGTAATAGCCGCTATGCTTTTAAAAAAGTTCTGAATGAAACTTCATATTTTCAAGCAAGATGATGCAACATCATTGAATTAAACCTTCTGCTACTCCCAAGCAACAATAAAAAGTTCAATGTTTTCAAAACATGGGAAATACCACAATTTCAGCATTTTGTTTTGATTTGAAATAGAACCAGCTTTGTTTCCAAACAATTCCACCACCACGATTTCAGTGCAATTCCTTCAGATACATTTATTTGCACTCCCATGAAGCATGATGTGCAACAGCAACACTACAGCTCCAGCTCTGCTATGGAAACTTTGTTGACAAGTAAAATTTATTTAGGAAACATACCTGTTTTTTTCCTTGTGTTTTCTTAAATTCTTCACATGCTAGCCAGAACAAAACGTTTTCTTCACTAAATTCTTTCTTTAAAAATTCCTAGGGAAAAGAAAAACAAACAAACAAACATTAGGATCCAATTTCTCCATTGTTTTTCTCTCTTCCTACTATAGCCATTAAAACTAGAAGCCGCCTACAGCTCGCGTTACCGCCATGAGTGCATCTGCACACTACCCAGACACCAACGAACAATCCCAGATTGAAAGCACATTCCAGGAGAATGATGAGCTACATTTAATCTCAGAGCACATCAGTAACTAACATGAAGATTTCCTCAGTCTCCCTTAAAAAACTCAAGCAATTTTACAGTCATTACTCAAAGGGAAATCCAAAAATATATGAATTCAATAGCAGGTGAGTATAATGAACTATTTTAATGAGAGTCATAGATCACCTGAGATTCTCATCAAGTATCTTTCTGATTTTTTAATTATTAAAATCTCTACAAATAAAAGTGTTTCTAAACTTGATCATCAGTGGCAATAAATTCACTTAAGTAAACTAAAGCAGAAGATGTATTTGCATTCTCCAGACAGTGTTTAAACAAAGCACATTCCTCCAAAAGTGAGGCATGTTTTAAAATGGGGAAAAATGTACATCAAATTTCTTTATGAAACATAATGACTGAAATATTTATAGCTCCGAGATCATCAGTTTTTGTTTTCAAGTGTTAAGAAAACAGAGATTAATTAATGCCAAGAATTAAATAGCACCAAGATAACTTTTTTTAAGAATTCTAAGTAACAGTGTTTTGTAATTCTAGTTTACATCACTTTTCAAACTAGCCTGGCAAGAAACCATTTTATCCCAGTGCATTTTATCAGTGCTTGGTGCAGCAAAACCACACTCAAGTAGGCAGTTCCTATTCCTATAGCTAACACGGCAGAAAGGCCTTGAAAAACCAACCCACCACCCTCACCTAATTAAGCACAAGCTCACACTTTGTAGTAAACTTTTTCTTTTCAGTACAGCAGCTGCAACACAGAATAAGAGCCACACAGAGCTACCAGGCTCAGGAGCTGTTAGTGGTAACTCCCTGCTTAAGCAAGGACAACAGATGAGAATAAAGAGCGCAGGATCAGTCCTCAGTAATAAATAATGCTTGGCAAGAGAGATCAGTGGCTCAAGGACTGTAGTTTATCCACAGTAACTTGTTAATCCTTGCAGCAGCTGACAGATCCGATTAGGAAGGTGCAACCAAAAGTCTTCCACATGCCTTACAAGAGCGAGCTGCAGTGGCAGTGGGCAAAAGGCACTACCTCAGGAGCTCAGCAAATGCCACAGCTCCAACTCTGCCACCTCTCCTCAGGGTACACAACTAGAAGGATAAGTGTCCCTGTGCTTACAGCACTGGCACAGCTGCACCATTTATGCCGAGACTCACTCAGCTTTAAACCCCAATTTTGGTTTATATAAATATCCATAGTCAATATAGCAACCCTAAATCGTTTCACTCCTTCTGGATCTTCGAGGAGGCTCTCCAGTGATGTAGCCCATTTTGAGGTTCCTTTCAAGGTTTGGTGGCTGCTGCTGGGGTGACCCTCGCTGTCATTTATCTCTGGAAAAAAATTGAAAAAACCACCATCTTCGTTAGAAGCGATGAATGTCACATGGATTTCTTCCCCATTGCCCTCTGCACCCTTGGATTACAGCTGCTCTCTTTAAAGGAAACACCATAAATGTGAGAATAAACACACACACATTTTTGAATTCTACTTTGCCTGTAAGGAGGCAAAAACGCCTTGCAGTTATACAATTCATGAGCACTTAAGTAGGCACCATCACTGTTTTATAAGGAGTTCAAGCACCTTTTGCATGTGGAACACAATGACAGCAGCCTGTGGAGTAAAAGGCCCGGTTGCCTTTTGTTCTGGCACTGCCAATGACATTGGCTTCCATAAAGCAAATCCTAGTCAGTCACATGCATGAAATTTATTTTTAAGAAAAGAATCATCACTGGAGGTTGGGAAAAGGCAAAGAGAGAAAGAAAAATAACGGTTTGTTTAGCAGGAGAACAAGTCTAACATGTTAACCCAGTCTAACAGGAGGAAAGACAGCTGGCAGAGGAGCCTCATTCCAGCTGAGTCAACCTGCTATTGGGCAAGTGGTATTTGGGTGGTTTTTTAATGTTTGCTTGTTTGTTCTCAAGTCCACTGAAATTCTGCTTTTACAAGGTGTACTGGACCGTGCCCACATCTTATCTGCCAGCCAGCCTTCTCGCAGACAGAAAAATTCAAAAATATATACCACCTCTCCTATCCCAGGGACAGATGCGTTACATCCAAGGTTGATGATGCCAAAAAAATTGTTTGCTGGCTACCCATCAGAAAACCTATTACTTGGGAAGACTCCAGGAATTTTACTGCTGATCTGAAAAACTCTAAACCAGACAAAGCACTTGGCCTCCTTTCCTCTCACACATGAAATGCCCAGGGAAGACAGCAAGAGTGCAAGCCACGAAAAATCAGGCTAAGAGCTCCACTTCAGGTCACTACACACCGCAAAGGTGCACAAAACTCTCACTGTAATCAACACAGCTTCTACTTATTTTTATAACCCCTTCATTTCTGCCTACTAACTTAATGGAAATATGAATCTTAGTAATTCTGCTTAAGCTCTGTTAAAAAACCCTTCCTCTACCATGAAACTAAACCTCAGCAAGTATCTCAAAACACTATCTATGCAGAGCTATACTATCAGATGCCCTTTTCAGCTGCTGGTAGCTAGAATGATAAATGCTAAGGTTAATGCCCTACAAAATATTGGCACAACAACCAAAACTCAGCAGGCTTTGCTGACAGTGACCTGTAGAGTCTATTTGCTTTTCTAACAGTGAGATGGACCACTGTTTTAAAGGAATTAACATCTCCTCTTCTCCTTTGATAGGAGGGGTTCTTTTATACAGGAGAAATTACAACACTGGAAAAGAGGTAAACTTTCTGGAGCTGTGGATTCCATAGCCATTGCCTAATACCGACAGATCTACACTCATGCCCCAAGTAAATACAGATGTAAAAGAAAGGAATGCATCTGAAATGACTGAGCGCATTTTTCATGTGTAAATCCTGTCCTGCTCTCACTCTGTGATGCAGTTACAGCACCAATCTGAAATTTCTTACATGGCAAATGCATGACTCTATGCCTGCACAAAACCTTCCAGGATCAAAGACCATAACCAGTTTGGATGAGGACTGAGGCAGACTGGTCTCCAAAGCAGCAAGTATACCTACAGCTCTGTGTAAGAAACACACAGTCTGCTAGATAGAGGTCAAGAGTTAGAACCTGAGGATTGTCTCCAAACCAATACTGCAGACGTCATACGTGACCCAAGAGCACAGCGAGTTAACTGTGCCTCGGTTTCCCCTGCCCTCACGCAGATGGATGTGGTTCTTAACTATCGCGTGCAGTATGCATTTTCGGAATGTGACTCAAAGTATCTGGGCATCTAATCTCAGTGAAATCCATGAGATTTAAGTGGGAATAGCCAAGTATGTTGGAGCAGAACACAATCAACTCTGAGGAGCTTGAATCTCTCGTTATGATTACTCTCACCTGCAAGTAGAATGGCAGCTCTGGGCGTACAGCTGCTAACGGCCTGAAGAACCAGGCCATTCCCTTATTTAATATATGATCGAGCACAGAATATGTGGGAGTGAGATCTTCGAGTGTTTCTTCTCCAGCCAAATGTTAAGTGGACATTAAGGATATGCTTTGAAAAGCATATATTTCAATAAGCCAATGCAACACAGGGCAGACTCAGCACCATGAGAACCTAAAAAAAAAATTGCTGGTGAGCAGCCAAAGGCTGGAACAAGCGCTTCCACACAGCCAGGATACATCGATCTGCTTCCCCTCAGCTGCTTTCCCTGGTCTCTCATTTTACAGCTGGCCATTCTCTGTCTTCCCTGATCACCATTCTCTCCAGCTTGTTCTCACTTCCAGCCTACCCAGCACAGCCCAACTCCATCCACTGTTTGTTTACCTTCCCCCTGCTCCTCCTTGTCACCCTCCAAACCCTGAGCTCGCCTGTGACCCTGCTCCCTCTCTCCCTACCTTCTCCTACAGCCTTAGTAGAGAAAAATTTGTTCTGAAGGGAAGATCTACATGACTTCTTCCTAATGTCCACTCTGCTGAGCCTTGTTGTATGTTCAGGACTCTGTTACTCAGCTTATTTCCTCACTTAACCAGCTCCCCACAACCCAAAAAGTACTGTGGTACCAAGATGAGGCTTGCCTGTCCATTGCTCGTACAACGCAGCCCTTTCATTTACCCCCTGCCTCACTGATTCAACCAGGAGTTCCCCAGAACAGAGGCTACGGGATGCCACAGGTGCCGGGCAGCTCTGCCGGGCCGGCGCAGGAGCTGCAACCCCAGCTCAGCCCGGGCCACAGCTCCCAGCATCGCTCCACACCGAGGCAGACCTCGGACTGCTGGTCCATAATAAACCCAAGAGGCCAGAGAACACTCTTGGCTCCTGCCATCAGGTAGAGCAGCACAGCTGTTGTCCTGAGCAGTCCCCCAAAAAACACAGTAATTGCATCAAAACAGCCTGCTGGGGACATGGCCTGGGTGGTACCACCCTGCCAGATGTGCCGAGGGCAACACGGCTGGCAGGGGCCAAAGCCATGCCAGGGAACATGCCACCAGCTCTGGAGAGTTCAAGGCTGCGCGCTGGGCACGGCACTGATCAAGCTCTCTCCCTCCAGGCTGAGTACCATTAATCCCCACGTTCAGTGTTCCTGTGCAGCCGCCATAAAACATTAACATTCCCCTGCAGCGCAAATATAAATAGGCTGCACATGATACATGACAGTAGGAAACACCTTGAAATTTTATGAGGATATTAAAACAGCTGGGTATTTTTATTATACCCCATTAAGTACACCATCACAAACATTTTTTCTAATACAGAAGTGACTCCCCCAATTAGGATCATAACTTCCCACTCCACATGCTGGTTTCATTTAGCAGCCTTGACGTGTAATTTCTATAATTTTTTTAAGAGCTTGAAAGATAGGAAAAAGGGCTTCCTCACAAATGACTCAAGAAGCTAATCCCCAAATCCATATCCCATAACACATTACTAAATTAGCTTAAAAATGAAACTTCCACTGAAGTACAATGTAATGAAAGGCTGAAACAATTTATTTTAGAAGGCAATACCGCAATAAATGCAATTACATGAACGACTCTCTTGAAACCTATTTATTTTTCTTTGCTATTTATAAAGTTAACTTTCTCCTGTTAAAATCACCCAGTGACAAAGTTACCTAATATACACTCAGAAATAACAAGCTCAATACCAATGTTCAACAACCAAAACGTGTACATCAGGATGATCGTTTCAACGGGGAAGGCAGACATTGGCTGTTACTGAAAACTGGGAGATAATTCTGCGCATCGAAGCGGGTATCACGAAATGGCAGTTCTTCCGCCAATGTTTCTGTAAAAGCACCACCCGGCACGTACAACAGATGATCCATATGCTGACTACACCTCTTACCGTGGCAGGAGAGCGCTTGCTATCTTTTATACGGCTTGGAAACCAAGGGGCAGAGAAAGCCAACGCAGCACAGCGGAGCGCCGTTGCAGAGCCTCTGCCGAAGGAAACTTTCCACTGAGCGTACGACCATAACACAGCCGCTCGCACGATGTGCGGTGGCCAGCTGCTTCTCCAAATGCAGCAAATGATTACGTGCTTATTTTAACAGCACTTTGGAGACAAACCCTACCCTAACAAACAGGCAGCGACATTAGCTGGTGCGTTGTTTTAGAGAAGAATCTTACAGAAGCTGCCTCCCCCCACCGCACAATAGCACTGCTGCATTAGGCCACGGATAAAGGCTCTTTGTAAGCGAAAGATATAACATAAGTGCAGCACTAACAACACTGTAATTATCAGCTGAAGTGTGGTATCAAAAACGGCAAATATTTGCATTCTCCAAACAGGAAGTTGGACTGAAACCACAGAAAGTGCCAATAACACCAAAATACACAACTCTGCGGGTCAAAACTCGCAGGTCTGGCCCTTGCTTCCGACAAGCACCAAAAAAAAAAAAAAAATGTGGAAACCCATCAAACTTTTTGAGATTCAGACACAGCTAATTGAGTTAGACACGCTAATCTGTCTGCCTTCCAGAAGGGCTACGCGCTACAACGGTTTCCCAAGCTGCTCTCAAACTGTTGATACAGGGCCTGCGTGGCACCGTACCAAAGAGCACAGACTCACACCCTTCACAGAAGCCCACTGAACGCAGCCCCCCTTCCCTAAATGCCCACTTTAACTGCCTCTTTCCCACACCCACCTTTTGCAAAGTTGTTAACAGAAGATAACCAGCACACAAACAGTAAATATCACAAAAGCACCACGCAAATAGCATATTCCTTATTTTACATTTAAACATTAATGTACAATGTTAAGAAAACCCTTCTCGATTTCTTCTTGAAGAACTTTTGATCACAGCGCCTGCCTTTTCCCCTTTTTCACCTGGATCATAAAGCTGTGAGCTACAAACCTTTACAATTACTTTAAAAGTACTCTGAATACCTTGTCTTTTC